ACCTGGGCCCGCCTACTATCCTCGGAAACGTAAAATGATTGGCTAGAAGTGTATCACAGCTCAGGGAAAAAAAGCACCGAAATAAAGCACTGAAATGTGCACTGCTTTTCGGTCTGGTTACTACCGTTTATGTCAGAACGACACCGGTACCCATCCCTAGTCTCGGGTTTCATTTTTTCCAGATAAAATGACCCTTATTCATTCCAACTGATTAAGCATTATAAAGCAACAACAGTTGTCTCAAGTTGTACAGCAGGAAACCCTACAATATCACAGAACATATATGAACAATCACACTCATCCTATTGAGCAGTACTTGGCTACAGCTGGAAGGAGGAACTCATTTTTCCCAGGAAAAGACCTCCAGGGTTAGGGAGGGTTGACTTTTCCCTCACTTGCTTTATCATAAACCAATGTCTTCTGTCTAATCTTATAAGTAGAGAGAATGTCTATCTTTTCATTCAAAACTGTGAGCTGGTTCCACCAGGGAGGAGGTTGATAGCTGAAGGGAGCACCTCCCATTTTACTTTCAGAAACTCAAGGAACCAGAGGTCAACCAGCTGTCTGACAGTGAAGTGCCGCAATAGGGTAATGTAGGAGTATCAGATATGAAGACATATGGATATATGGAGACAAGCTAATATGGGAGAAATATGTTCTCTCCATTTAGCCCCTTTTAGTACTCTCATTGCAGCAATTTGGATCAGCTTAAAGCTTTTCATGGAACTTTTAGGACAACCTGCAAATAATGTAATATATCAGTCAGGGGTAGGGATAGCTCAGTAGGTAGAGTGGCGGCTCCATGATCGGAGGAATTTCCCCACGGGCATAAATAAAGTAATCATTATTATTATTAAAAATAGTAAGTGTGTGATTCAGGTTTTTCCAAGGCTATTATAGGCTAAGATGTTTTAAATTGTAATAAAACTAATCACAGGAAGTTAGTAGTATATTAATCTTTAGTATGCTCATTAAAGGACATAATCTGGAAAAAAAAAACCTCCAAGACTAATTTTTACAAACTTTTACAAAAATATTTATAAACAGCAATTCAGAGTCTAAAATTGTATAAGACTTAGCTTTTTAAGTAAGAATATGATACAAATTACAAATTATATGGAGTGAAAAGGACTAAACACTGACCTCAGAGTTTTCAGAGTACAATGCAGACTCTGCAGTTCTGCAGAAATATATTTGGCTCCTGAATCCTGAAGGTCATTGTCACTCAGGTCCAGCTCTCTTAGACAGGAGGACGGGCAGCTTAGAACTAAGGAAAGAGCTTCACAGCTTTTCCCTGAGAGGTTACAGCAATTCAGTCTGACAAAAAAAAACACTGACTTTATAACAATTGATGATGCAATCAGCAGTTACTACTGGCAACATTTAATATTTCAGAAATGGTTGAAAATTTTGCCTTATTTTAAACAGAAATGTGGCAGGTTACTCTTACTAAGGAATATTAAAAATGCTAAGCTACAAAAAAAAAGATCTTTACTTTTCAGCTAAAATAATTCAACATAAATAAATAAATAAAATATTCACTAATCTGACCTCAGACTTTCTAGTGTACAATGTGGACTCTGCAGAGCAGCATTAAGAAGCTTCACTCCCGAATCCTGCAGATTGTTGTTACTCAGGTCTAACTCTGTCAGACTACAGGACTGGGAGCTCAGAATTGAGGACAAAGCTTCACAGCTTCTCTTAGAGAGGAAACAGCCACTCAGTCTAAAGAGAAAAGAAACAAAAATCAGTACAAGAGATGTCCTTGTTAACAAAAAACCTAAATGTCAGGAAAAAATTGCTCATTAAATCATCATTATACCTCTAAACGGAAAAGCAACTGAGCAACTAGTACAATTAATTAGTAAGTAGGGCTGGGCGATATGGCTTAAAATTCATGTCGCGATATAATTTGAAGCATCTGCGGTAACATATATATCGCGATATATTCTTTTCTTCTGTATAACATATTTTCCACACTATAAGGCACACTTAAAATCCTTTAATTTTCTCAAAAATCGAGTGTGCCTTATGTATGAATTCTGGTTGTTCTTACTGACCTCGAACCGATTTTGGCGTGCAGAAATCTGTTAAAAATGTTTTAGTACAACGTTGGTAAGCCGCACTGCTTGATGGATTGTCAGAGCATTACGGCTGCCGTAGTGAGGAGCTTATTTCACAAATAAAAATCACAAGATGCTTCCCCATCATCAGATAATTATACTGTAACTTTGATTACTATTTCTTCTTGGTGCCAAATTTCTGACTCTAGTTCAGTTTTAGAAACCTCATGTTAAACTGTGCAAGTATCAGTGCCTGAAAAACCCAATCCCCACGTGTTTTAAACCTAGTACGTGGGACCACCAAGTAACCTCTGACCTGACGACCTAAGTGCTCGGGATGAAGCATGAGGTTTCAACAGGTCAGAGATATACTGGGGAGCCTCGACTGAAATGAATAGTCTAAAAAACGGATATTTGTTTGGACCAAGAAACACAACGAATGGACATTAGACCAGTGGAAATCTGTGCTTTAGTCTGATAAGTCCACATTGGAGATCTTTGGTTCCACCCACCAATAATAAACATTTTAAAAGTAAAGGAATAAGTATATATTTGCTTACATGGCTTTGTTGGAGGCTTTGACCACTGGCAGCAGCCTCAGAAGAGCCTCCTCTGAAGCAGAGTATTTCTTCAGGTCAAACACATC